AAAAACTGATCCAAGCAAACTTCTTGTTTTCAGTTTTAAAAATAATTAGCCAACGCATGGGCTGCCCGTGCGAAGATGTGTTTTTTGCATAGTTCCCTGCAATTTTTGTCGCTACTGGCATCGGTTTTTTCGGCAAATGCATCTAGCTAAGCAAATTAAGACTGGCCGCCACAACTGGCAGGAAACACCCCCGTATATTTCAGCTTTCTAGCTTTCCTGACTCCTAAGTTAGCAACTTACTGGAAAAAGACTTTCGCAGGCCCGCACCTGGGTATCACACATATCCGATTTCTAGGTTTGAGCTCGTTAAGACTTACTTGGATGGGGAACATCCTCTTAAAACTACAGTCTTCTAGCTTTTCAGGTCCTCGAACTAACTAGCAACTTACCCGAGAACTTTGGTGAGCCCGTGCGTAGGTACCACGCATACCCGAGGGCTGGGTTTGAGCTGAATGAGACTTAGGTAGACGGGAAACGTCCCGTAAAATTTCAGCTTTCAAGCTTTCCTGATTCCTGAGTTATCAATTTACCTGAAAAAAATTTGACGGGCCCGTGCGCGAGTACCACGCTTACCCAAGGCCTGGTTTCGAGCTCATTAATACCTACTTTGACGAGGAACAGTGCCCTAAGATTTCAGCTTTCTAGCTTCTCGGAACCCCGAATATCATCTTACTCGAAAAAAATTTTGGTGGGCCCTTACGCGGGTACCATGCTTGCCTGGGGGCTGAGTTTTAGCTCATTAATGCCTACTTGGACGGAGAACATCCCCTTAAAATTTCAGCCCCCAAGCATTTCTGGCTCTCGAGTTGGCAGCTTACCCATAAAAAATTTTGGAGAGCTCTTACGCGGGTACCACGCGGGTAAGACCGCCCGCTTTGGGAATGGGAGCCCGTACGTGCATGTAGATTAAGTCCCCAAATTTTCAGCCCTGTAGCTTTTGTAGGTCTCGAAATGAAAAATCGGTACAGGGTCCCTGCGCACACACAGACCACTTTTCGTCAGTTTGCGTTTTCCGCGTTGCATGGCCGCAAAAAAACGCATAAAAAGATTGTGGACTACTTTGGGGTCCTTGGCAAACACAAGTCAGCTAGCATATCCACGATTTGGTGCTTTTGTCGAGGCTACTGTCGTGTTTTTTTATTCCATCTTAGATGGAACTAAACGAGTATTTTTTACATAAGAAATTTGTAATTAACCTGTTTTCGATTATTCAGAAATGGACGGGCTTGTACATTGGACACTGCTTGTACCATGCGGAGCAGTGCTTGGCCACCTCGGCGTCTGCAGGTGGATTACACATTTCATGCACCGTTCGGAAAGTGTTCTTACATTTACAAGCATCTGTGCATCCTGGACCCTCCACACAACCCGGTGGACAATCCTCCAGACCGGATGTTGGTCGACTTGGTAAATCGTCATCATCGTCCGGAATTGGCTGATCCCGAGCTCGGCTTGATCGGAATCCACCAGGCACTGACGGTGGAATTACAAACGGCATAAACGCATCCACTGAAAAGTTTTAATTTTAGCGTCAGACTGTTTATGATAGAAGTAATGTGGTCCGATATAATTTTTGATATAAATCCAGAATTTATGAGTGATGATATTTCGAAACCTTAACTCAGAAAGTTCCTACTCTCTTCAAAATCACAAATAACA